GAAGAATGAAGTCCTTGACAACTTCAATCTTTTCTCCATTGATATGAATATTGTTTATTGGTTTACTGCTTAGGATTTTTGTTTTCTTTACATTGAGATGTAATCTATACCAAAGGCTGTGCTCTTTGATCTTGATCAGTAAATGTTTTAAGTCCTCTTCACTTTCGGCAAGCAAGGTTGTATCATCTGCATATATATGATATCAGCAGGGCTCCTGTTAATTCAAATGTTACATGTTGATAACATGCTTAGCAATACATTAGAGCTATGCACAGGGACTGATAAGGAATAGAAAAATGACTCCTAATGCACACTCTGAATGTCCAAACACCTGCCAGCGAGTGAATCCTGACTCAATATCTAAGGATTTTCAAGACTGTAATTTTTGTGGCCGCAAAAATTCTATACTGTCTTATATGAAACTCTATATTAGTCTTTGAATACATTCCACAAGATATATTTGTCGAATGTGTAGGAAACATCTGCTTTCTTACAACTGTCTTATTGGCTTCATATCCTGGCCATAACCATCTGAAAATATTGTTTTCCTTAGTATGATGAGTTTTTTAAAAATGAAAATTGCTGGAATAATGATGTCACAGAGTCTGTGTTAAGAGTGCCCCACCCCTTTCTGGCAGTATATAAAGGCCCTGGAAGAGCAGATGTCATTCACACTTCAGAATCATCCTCCTACACTTCAACTAAAACTTCACCTTTGGACACCATGTGCTGCAACTACTACGGTGGCTACGGCTGTGGCTATGGCTCAGGTTATGGCTGTGGCTATGGCTCAGGCTATGGCTGTGGATATGGCTCCCTCTATGGCTGTGGCTATGGCTCCGGCTATGGCTGCGGATACAGCCCCCGCTATGGCTGCGGATATGGCTCCCGCTATGGCTGCGGATATGGGTCCCTCTATGGCTGTGGGTATGGCTCCGGCTATGGCTGTGGGTACGGGTCTGGCTATGGTTGCGGATATGGCTCCCGCTATGGCTGTGGATACGGATGTGGATATGGCTCTGGCTGCTATAGCTATCGCCCATTTAGCTACACAAAATGCTATTCTTCTTGCTGTTAGGATACAACTGTCAGAGCACCATTTGCTTCTGAAATAACTCTTCGATGATTAATTCAGATTAAAGAACCTCTGTACCAAAATTTCTATCTTTATGAAACACATGCTGTTTCTTACACTGGTAAGGCTATGTCCAGATGTTCTATGGTATCATCGATTTTACATATGTTCGTCTTTACTCCCTTAATCTCTGATTCTCTATTACTGAGGCATTGACTTTCTCTTGTTGGGAAAAATTTTATTCTCAATAAAATGGTTTTTTGCTTGTAAAAAATCTGTGTATTTGTTTATGATTTACACCTTTATTTATTTTATGGTCTCTATTGTGGCTTTGTGATTCTTGGTGTGGTGCAATGGGGTAAGCACTGGACTGCTTAGCAGAAAGCTGGCCGTTCACACCCATCACTCACCTCATAAACCCCATACAAGATTGCTTTGAGCCTCAACTGACTCTATGACACACAACAACAACAATGGTGGAACTGTAAGGAGCCTTGGTAGTGCTGAGGGACGAGAGTTTTGTGCTAGTCACCCCCAGTTCCTGCTGGAGACAAAATGTTGTTGTATGGGCAATCAAAGATTTACAGTTTTGAAGCATATTATAGGGTCACCATAGTCAATATTGACTCTTTGGCAGTGGGTTTCTTTCCAGATATTATTAATTGATGGAACAATAGGTTAGGTGAATCTTATTTTCTTCATTGATATATTTGTTTCTACTAATATTCAGTACACAAGTACTGTCTGCTCCACCTATTTCTTATATTCCACATATTCAGGAATAAACAAAATGAAATGCATCCATAGACTCCCATTAACCTTCACATGAGATAGAGAAGCGGAAGGGCTGGTTGGTCTGAAGTGTTGTTAGACCTGGGATTTCTGAGTCCATGGTCAAAGACATGGCCACGGAGGGCTAGACCCGAGAGTGAAGTGTCCAGGTGATATGAAGTGAGGGGAGATGCATAAGAACACCCAAACTCTCAGATAATACCCATTTGACCCAGCCTCAATGATATGATGATCAGAACTTTACTAGAGGAAAATAAAAAAACCAAAAAAGAGAAAATCAATTTTTGATAAAGGAAACAAATGTAAATTGTTACAATTTGATGAACTTGACCTATACTTATGGATGAAGTAGCTCAAAATCTGAACTGAGAGGAAAGGAGTTTTCACATCAAGTATCAATCCTATCCCTTCTGTATACAGGATAGATGGGGATGGGCAATTTAGACATTGGCTACATTAAATGAGGGGTGATAAAGGCACAAAGTGATTGGCTTACAAGTTTTCAAGAGGGTGCTTAGTCTAAGAGTGTATGAGGGAAGGTAGAGTCCCCCTGGATACTTTCATCTTGTCTAGATGAGTCTGATTCAATAGTGTGAAATTGTTATCATGACTAACTGTGATTGCCAAAACTCTAAAGGTAGAAGTGTTATAACAAAAACCAGGGAATAGTTAATCTTATAGTACAGAAACAGAGGACCCTAGGACCATCAAGAGAGAAGAGCACAAGCAGAATGTGGGACCCTGTTCAGAGAAACAGGGGCACCAGACATGGAGGCAGAGATGAGGACATGGAGAGAGGGAACAGCTAAGGTCTCCAGCCTTACGGAAAGATAGGGACTGGATGCTGGTGTCCAGGAGAACAGGCTTGCAGAATGTGCCCTTTGGTTGTTTATTAATTATATATTCCTGAGTGTTTCTGCATACACCCCCACCACTTCAAAACAAACAAAATAAACAAACAATCAAATAGGAAATGGAATCAAATATTGTTGAATGATGATATAGAGGAGACTGCATTCATTGCAAAGAAATGATGATGTAATTCTGATATTTGCACATGTAAAGTACCACTCATTTCACAAGAAAAACTTTTAAAAAATACAATCAAATATTATTTATGAACTGTGTTTTGGAATGACATAGCATCTAAGATGGTGTGGGAGGGAATTAAAAAAGGATGAATGACACATATTTAGTAGGTTATGACAAAACTCTCATAGGAAACAAATGATTCAGAGTATTGGGATGTGTATGGAATTTAAGAGATTTCCAGGATTATTGATAAGTAGAAACAGATTTGAGTGCTTATCACAGTGAGTAAAATATTAAGGAAAGCATAAGTTAGAAGTGATATGTACATCAAATAATCTGAAATGGGTGTATGTGCACATATATTTGAGGAAGTTGCTTGAATGAATCTATTTAAGAAATAACATGAAAACATTTTTATTATGAATGTGTCTAAAGATTGAAAGTATAATAGAAAAAAATTATAAACAAATCACATGTTTTTGCAAACTAGTATGTGGAAAGTAAAAGTAACATAAAGCAAAACAATGAAAGAACTATTTAAAACAAATCTAGATAGAGAGGATACATTGAGAGAATAAAAACAGATTGATGGGAAGGAACTAAGGGTGAAATAACTAGAGATAGAAGGCAGGGAGGCACTTTGAAGTTATGATAGTTGAATTGAGATCTGATAATAAAATGATGCCAGTTTCAAAGAATGTCTTTTGTTGTATTCAGGTGCTGTAGAGTCAGTTTTGGTTGTTAGACATCCTTGTTGACAACATAATTCAACACTGCCAGGTCCTTTGCAATCATCACAATTGCTATGCTTGTCGATCTATCCCACTGGGGGCTTCCTCTTCTTCCCTAACCCTCCACTTTATCAAGCCTCATGGTCTCCAGGGACTGGTCCCTCCATATTATATGTCAAGAGTATAAGAGAACAAATCTCACTTTCCTGGCCTCTAAGGAACATTGTGCAGTTCGAAACTACCAGCTGCTCCGCGGGAGAAAGATGAGGCTTTCTACTCCCGTAAAGATTTACA